TGACAGATTCTGTGCTTCAGATTCTGTGTCTCCCTCTCTCTGACCCTCCCCCGTTCATGCTCTGTCTCTCTCTGTCTCAAAAATAAATAAACGTTAAAAAAATAATAATTGAACAGTGATTCTAAGAAGTACAGGCAAGAGAGTAGGGAAGAGCAGCAATACGGGATACACTGCTGATCATGATATCGCTACATGGCACCGTGGCTCAATCCTGGAGACCATTCAGAGATGGTGTAGAGTAAGCTTCAGAAGCTATCTCCAGAGGTAAGGAAAATGGCATATTTATTAACCAACTCCTGTTTGGTATTGGTTAAGATCTATTGCTGGGCAACCACTCCCTGATTACCCTCAAGTTTCTCATGTGGCTAAAGAAAGTCCTCAGGCAGTGAGTTTCAGTTGTTTGTAGTAAGAAGACTTCCTTGTACAAAAGCGAACGTCAAGGGGATATGGGTGGCACAGCAACAATATCTACTCTACAACACTGGGTAAAAAAGTCAGTGAAATGGGAAAAGATTTGTGCAACACACAAAAACAACCAAGGAATCATAAAAGCTCTACAAATCCCAAAATCGGCAAGAGACATTCACAAAAGAAGATATTCAAATGGTCAATATACATATGAAAGGATGTTCAACCTCATTATCAGAAAAATGCAAATTAAGAACACAATGAAATACCACTAGCTACCAATCACTATGGCTAAAATTTTTAAACTGATAATATTGTTTGGGGGAGGAGTAATGGGAATTCACATACACTGCTAATAGGAGTATAAATTGATACGATCATTCTGAAAAACATTTTCATTATCTACTCAAGTTGAAGATATGCATTCCTCATGACTCAGAAATTCCACTCCAAACTATGTGCCCAATAAAAATATGTGCACAATTATATAAGGAAATATTTACAATATTGTTTAGCAATATTATTTGTAATTTCCAGAAACTGTCAACAACTCAAAAGTCCAACAGTGAAGGGGCGCCAGGGTGGCTCAGTTGGTTGAGCATCTGGCTTCAGCTCAGGTCATGATCTCACAGTTTGTGGGTTCGAGCCCCGCATCAGGCTCTGTGCTGACAGCTTGCTCAGAGCCTGCATCCTGCTTCAGATTCTGTGTCTCCTTCTCTCTCTCTGCCCCTCCCCTGCTCATGCTCTGTCTCTCTCTGTCTCTCAAAAATAAATAAATGTTAAGAAAAAATTTTTTAAATAAAAAAAATTTAAAAATTCCAACAGTGAAATAAATAATGGCATATTCATACAGTGAAAGATTACATAGCAATAGAAATAAATGAGCTATAGATAAATGCAACAACATAGTTAAATCTCACAAACATAATGTTGGCCAAACAAAGCCACATATAAAAAATGCACATGAATGTTTCCTTATATGTGAAGTTTTTTAAAATAATGGGTAAAACTAGATTAGAAAGAAAAACAAGAACACCATTACAAAAAAGTAGTTTCTTTTTGGAGGGAGGGAGAGAATAATGAACCGAAAGAAGCAAAACTGGAGTTTTTAAAGTAATGGCAAAACACCTATTTCTTTACCTGAGTGGTCGTTACGTGGATGTTCACTTTGGCAATGCTTGAAGGCATTTTTGGTTGTTACAACCGGAGAGATTCTATTAGCATTTAGTGGGTAGAAACCAAGGTTACTGCTAAACATCCTAGAACACATGGGACAGGAAAAGAATTATCCAGCCCAAAATGTCTATCATGCCTAGGTTGAGAAATTCTGCTGTAGAGGAGCTCTTACTACAAGCATACAGATACTCTTACACTTTCATATCACTGATGCTTTCTTCCCTGTTTGTTCCTTCTCTGTATCCCTCTCTAATCTCTCTACACTTTGCTGGCTTCTAAGAAGTAAGCTGCCATGAATCCTACAGTTGCAAGAAACTAAATATTGCCAACACCACAAGAGTGGGTACATAGATCCTTCCCTAGTTGAGTACTCCACGTGAGTATTCCACCTTGGATGACATCTTAACTGCATGCTGAGAGACCCTAAGCAGAGAATCAAGCTAGAATGTACATAGACTTCTGATTCACAGGAACTTTGAGATAATAAATATGTGCAGTTTTAAGCCACTATGGTCATGGTAATTTGTTATGCAGCAGTAGACAACTAATTCAGGGTCTCTTTACAACTTTCTTCTTCAAAGCTGACAAGAGAGAGAATCTCTTCACGGGGAATTAGGAGCTAATTCTCTACTGGCCTTTTGCATTTTTGCCTATCTTCTGAGCAAAGACACTGACTGCCTTTGTTCTGGACAGTCTTTTCAAAGATGTTTGTATAGTGAGTAGTTTTGAAAGATACAGTGTCTCCTTCTAAAGCAAAGGGTGAGTTTGTTTACAGTCTCAGAAGATTAAGATGATATCTCCTCCAGAACAGTAGGCAAAATACTTATTGCTCATTATAAAAGATCCAGGTTCCCTAATCTCTGAAATTCTCCCCTGTATAACACACTGCATGTGCAGGGGTCACCTGGCTCTCTTCACTTCACCCAGTGGGAAATGGAGTTTGGGGAATCAGTCTAAGAAAATGCTAATACTCTAGCTACTGCTTGTTCTAAATACTAAAGTCCTGTCTCTCTGACCCAGGAGTCTTGTGTCTTTTGTCAGCATCTACCAAATTGGCAGGCTAACTTGTTAGCTTGCAAGTAGGTTAGAATATAATATCCCTTAGAGTTTCTGATAATACTATGCTGTAATTGTTTTTTTTACCCCAATCTCCACTGGATTATAAATTCCTCTGGATTAGAGACTTACTTCTTATTGGATCCCTAGAACTTGTTGCAATGCTTAGTAAAATAACTTGTTGAATAAATTTTTAAGAAGCAATGTACTGTACTAGATATTCTATATGGCAGCCTAATGTCAGTGGGAAAAATATTAAAAGTTATTCAAAATAAAGCAAAGATATTTGGATAAGAACTTGGAAAAACTTGCTTTTTTTGTTTTTTAAAAGGGTGTAAATAGTCCCCTTTTTAAATTAAGTGAGTTATATGCCCAATGTGGGGTTTGAATTCACAACCCTGAGTTCAAGAGTCACATGCTCTGATGGAGCCAGCCAGGCACCCCAGAAAAACTTCTTTAATATCAAAATTTTCAAATGTTGGAGGAAGTATTTTGGATGTTTAAAATGGAAAATACGAGCATTCTTTATGCAATACATTGAAAGTAAGGTTATAAATATTATATAGAAAGAAAAGACATTCAGGTTAATCAAAATAAGAAATTTAAGTTTCATTCTCAGGGAATACTGATGATCCAGAAAACACCATTTTCTAAAATCAATATTCTTAAGAAGAAAGTATAAGAACTCATCTTAGGCAAATAATTCCACACTGGAAATTTTCAGAGAAAATTTAGTTCGTTTAGAAGTTTAAGATAATCATATAATTCAGCCAATGGAAGATTTAGTTCATTCACAAGTTTTGGCAAATCATGCAACTTAACCAGCACAAGTCTGAACTAATTTAGTAAATATTGTGTTTAATTAAGATATACATGCTTATATCAAATGAGGAAAGAGCTTAATTTAAAGTATATCTCCAGATGGTTAAGAAAAAAAACAGCAACTAAGAAACGGTATAAGGAATACTGAAATTCATGAATCATGTATGAAGTCAATATATTGCTTAGGGTTCCTCAAAAATTAGTAAATCTGAAAAGTATTTTAAAGGCTTCCACAAAGGACTGATGTGCTGATTAGGAAAATATTTACAGCTAGGACCAGTCCCTCCAAAACTAAAAAGGACAGGAAGTAACACTGATCCTTAAAAATCTTATGGAAGTAGCTACTGATTTTCTTTTCTGGACAGGAAAAAAGGAGTCCAGATTCTCAGCTTACATAATTACCTTAAATCTTCCCCAAATGACTTTCCTAAAGTCTGAGAGTCAAACTGATTACAGATGCTGGCTAGCTAATCAAAGATATTTATGAGAGAGCTAGTTGGCCAAACTAACATTCCCTTCTTAATATTACCAGAAACAGTCTAATGCAAAATAAAACAAAATGAAAACATGTATGTTACTAATTCTTATAGCTAGTGACACTAAATTATGAGGCTGTATGACTATATAATACTATATATTACATGAGTTAACAACAAAAAGACTGCTCTTAGGTATAATCTGAGGATTTTTTCCTATAAAAAAATGAAATGAAGCCTTAGTTTATATACTGTGATGGGTTGAATTGTGTCCCCCCAAAAATATTTGTCACAGTCTTAACACTCAGTACTTCAAAATGTGATCTTATTTGCAAACAGGGCCATTGTACAGGCAATGAGTTAAGATGATATCATACTGTAGTAGGGTAGACTCTTAATTCAATATGACTGGTTACATGTAAAAGACAGCCACGTGAAGACACACAGGGAGACTGCCATGTGACAAGGAAGGGAGAGACTGCAGTTATGCAGCAGAAAGCCAAAGAGCAATAAAGACTGCCAACAAACCACCAAAAGCTAGGAAGAGGCAAGAAAGGATTCCCCTATAGGTTTCAGAGGAAATATGGCCCAGCCTGTTGACATCTTGATTTCAGACTTCCAGCCTCCAGAACTGTGAGGCAATATATTTATCTTGTCTCAAGCCATACAGTGACTAGTATTTTGTTTCAGAAGCCATAGGGAGCTAGTAAACATACTAGTTATCAGTATAGAGTGGCCAGTATCAGTAGTATAGAGTGTCCTATTCCTATGCTGCATTGCATTTTTCTGTGTAAAACATGTCATTCATAAGTAAAACTGTTTCTCAAGTTAAGATATTTTTTATTTGAAAATACCACCCAAGGCAGTGGAATCTGGCAAAAAATCATAAAGGCTCTCTATGTTTATATTCATAACTGATTGTTCATTTTTAAGTCTCTGAAAGTCCTAAAATATTTAACGGCTCCAAAAAGACAGCTAAACAAGTAAAAAAAAAGAGGTGTGTGTGGGGGGCGGGGGAGAGAGAGAGAATAAAAGATTAATGACACACACTAGCAAAAGTATATCCAAAAGTAAAATGAAGAACCTTTCCCGTATATTAAGAAACAATTTTATTTTAATATGAACACTGTGTTTTAATATTAGTTTTCAGGGTCCAAACAGGAAGAAGAGAGCATCCCTGGTATGGGAGAAGCAAAGCCAGAACAAAGTAAGAATGGAGAGGTGGTACAGCACAGAAGGAGAAGGAAGGTACCATAATGGAGGGCTGCCCAGCACAGAGTATATGAACCTGAACAAGGTCAAGAGGGTATCCACACAAGGGGAGAGAAGGCAGCCTGGTGTAGTAAAACCTATGGAAAGTCTCTGTGTAGGAGGGCATTTTAATAGAGTATCAGAACCCGAGAGAGGCGAGATAGAGAAGGATGGTTTAGTAGAGAATGCTAGAACACAGGCAACAATGAGGATGACATCATAGGACAGAGAGTGGCAGCAGTCAGAGACTGGTCACATAGATGGGTCAAATATGCTAATATATTAAGGATACTGAGAGCCAGATTTCTCATTGTCAGAGAAGGGAGTTACTATTATTGAAGTAGAGAAAACGAATATGAACCTTGGGATGTCAAACTGAAATTGGAGGTATTGTTGTGAACTGATAGTTTTCAATTGTACAGATGGATATAGAAATAAATATAGAGGTAAATGTGTATATATTTATACATTTACTCATATACGTATACTTATTCCCTATTCATGAGAAGGCTTGGGAGCAGTGACACCCCAAAAGTAAAGACTGCCCAGTGCCCAGATCTTGACTTCTAAATGTCATAGCCTATTAAAATGAACCAGAGCTCCTGGGGGGAACTGGCTAACTCAAAGGCTAGGCAGAGAAAGTACAAAAAAAGCCTGGTTCATTTTCTTGAGCCAAAAAGTGATAAAGGGCTCAAAGAATGATGGGTGTATTTCCAAAGGACTTAGAGACCAATTAAAAGGGGCTTGTGCTAGTCAAATCTGAAACAATTTGAGATTCAAAATAAATACTGATAGTAATATTGACCGTAAAGGATTATAACCAATTTAATATGAAACCATGAATCCACAGAGATTAAATACAATGAACATTTGATAATAGGATATTTACATAGTCTCAAAGTACCTCCCCAGAGAATACTTTTAATTACATAAGGAAAATAGTAATTTTATAGTGGAGAAGCAAAAAAAACCCCTTCAATCAAGTACACAAAGTTATCATCATAATGGAACAAATCAAAACCATGAGCCATCTAAAAAGATGTCATAAGAACACTGCCTCATTTCTGTGATATTCCTACCAAAGATACATTACCTGAATCTAATAATGAGGAAACATCAGATAAACCCAAACTGAAAGATAATAACAGACCTGTAATTTTCAAATGTCAAGGTCATGACTGAAGCCTAAATAGACAAAAAACTAAAGGTAATTTTCTGTATCTCAACTGAATCCTTTTCCTGTGAAAGGACATTATCAGCACAATTAGCAAAACTTGAATCGGGCCTGAGAATTAAAGGTATTATCACTGTTTATTTCCTTACTTTGAAGATTTATTGTGGTTGACTAGAAGAATATCCTTGTTTATAAGAAATACTAATGTATTTGGCAGTGATAGAACATCATGTCAGCAAGTTACTCTTTTTTTTTTTAATTTTTTTTAACACTTATTTATTTTTGAGACAGAGAGAGAGCATGAACAGGGGAGGGTCAGAGAAAGAGGGAGACATAGAATCTGAAACAGGCTCCAGGCTCTGAGCTGTCAGCACAGAGCCTGACGCGGGGCTCGAACCCACAGACCGCGAGATCATGACCTGAGCCAAAGCCGGACACTTAACCAACTGAGCCACCCAGGCGCCCCAGCAAGTTACTCTTAAAATTAAAAAAAAAAGAGAAGTTTTTCGTAATGTATTTGCAAGTTTTCTGAAGGTTTGAGATTTTATTTAATTTTTATTTTTTTAAATAAACCTTTTTTTAAAAGGTTGAAACCTTTTAAAGATCTTACATGCTACCAGAGAATGGAGGGGGCAAAGTCAGGAAATCTCAATGGTTTCACCTTGTCAATAGGAACATTATAAGCTACAAGGCAGTGGAGAAGTACCTTCCAATTCTGAAGGAAAATTATTTCCTGGATAGAATTTGATTTTCAGCTATCAATCAATTATGAGAGAATAATAAAACATTTCAGAAATGCAGTCTCATTCTTTTTCAGAATGTGCTCTAGAGAATGTGCTCTACAAAAAAGGAGAGAGTAAGCCAAATCAGAAGACAACCTGGGACACAAAAAAACGAGATTCAACACAGGAGAGACAGAAAAATGCTGAAGAGAAACCTGGGGCCACAGCTGTAGACTAAACCAGAGGGGCAACCAGTCCAGATTGGAACAGGTCAGAAACCAATGAGAGAGGCATCTTCAAGGTGTTGAAACTGATTATCTATAGTGAATCAATACACTGAGAGCATATTTTAAATCTGCTGAGAGGATATTGAGATACTTGATGGAAATATTTATGCCTGAGTTAGTGAAAGCATACGGTAAAACATACAAATAGAAAAAGTTATTCATTCTGAGGAAAAAACATGTAAAAAGTAATGCAAGCTCAACTCTGCATAGCATGGATAATCATATTAATTTTTATCTACTAAGATTATGTTGTAACCCTACTGGGTGATGAGAGGTAAGGAAGTGTCCATGTTTATGAGAAAATAAAGAGTTAAAGATTCATCCTTCTGCCAGGAAGTTAACATGTAATGTCAAAGGATATCATCAAGAAAGTAAAAAAACAACCTAAAGAATGATAGAGAACATTTGCAAACCATATATTCAATAAGGGCCTTATATCTGAAATATATAAAGAACTCTTATAACTCAATAATAAGATAAAGAACCCAATTAAAAATTAGAAAAGGATATGAATAAACATTTCTCCAAGGAAGATATGCAAATGGCCAATAAGCACATGAAAAGAGGCTCGACATCATTAATCATCAGGGAAATGCAAATAAAAAACACTAGATATTACTTCACACCCACAAGGATGGCTACAATCAAAAAGTCAGATAATAACAAGTGTTGCCAAGGATGTGGAGACATCAGAACCTCGTAGACTCACTGGTGGGAATGCAAAATCATACAGTAATTTTGGAAAACAGTCTGGCAGTTCCTTAAACAGAGTTATCATATGACCCAGCAATTCTACCCCTAGGTATATATCCAAGATAAATGAAAACTTATATGCACACAAAACTTGTACCTAAATATTCATAATATATTCATAATAATCAAAAGTGGAAACTCAAATGAATAGACATTTGATGAATAGACAAATGAAATGTGCCATATCTATACAATGGAATATTATTTGTCAATAAAAATAATCAAGTACTGATATATGCTACAGTATGAATTAACCTGAAAACACCATGCTAGGTAAAAAAAAAAAAAAAGCCAGTCACAAAAGACTACACATTGTAGGATTCCATTTATATGAAATGTCCAGAATCGCCAAATCCATAGAGACAGATAGTAGACTAGTAAAAGTCAGGAACTGGGGGGTTGGAGGAAAAGGTTGGGGGGAATGGGAAGTGATTGCTAATGGGTACAGGGTTGCTTTATAGGGTGATGAACATGTCCTAAAATTGACTGTAGTGATTGTGGTACAACTGTGTGAACATACTAAAAATGACTGAATTTTAAACTTTAAATGGGTGAAGTATATGCTTTGAGAATTTTATCTTAATAAAATTATGTTTTAAAAAATAATGAACCACAGGATATATGTACAAGTAAAATGGATGACAATAGCCCAATGGTAAGGAAAGGGGAATTGCAGCACACTACTGTAAAATTCTTTTCTTTTTATTTCAGCTTTATTGAGGAATAATTAATAAATAAAATTGTAAAATATTTAAAGTGTACATTGTGGTTATTTGATACTCATATACATTGAAAAGATTCCCCCCAATTAATTAACTAACATATCCATCTCCTCAATATTTTTTTGGTGAGAAGAACTTTTAAGTTCTACGCTCTTAGCAAATATCAATTATACAAGACAGTGTTACCAACTATAGTCACCATGCTTAACATTAGATCCTCAAACCTCATTCATGTTATAGTTGAAAGTCTGTACCATTTACCAACTTCTCCCTATTTCCCCCCACACTCCAGTCCCTGGCAACCACTCTTCTATCCTCTGTTTCTAGGAGTTTGGTCTTTTTGTGTGTGTGTATGTGCATTATACATGTATGCATGTACCCACGTATGCACATATGTATATATGTATTCAGATTTCACATGTAACTGATACAATGCATTTAAATTTCACATATAACTAATACTATGTGGTATATATCTCTTTCTGGCTTATTTCACTTAGCATAATGTCCTCAAGGTCAATTCATGTTGTTGCAAGCGGCAAGATTTCCTTCTTTTTCGTGGCTACATAATATTCTACTGCCTGTATATGTGTGTGTGCACATGTTGCATTTTCTCTATCCATTTATGTATCAGTGAACACTTAGGTTGTTTCTGTATCTTGACGATTGTGAATAATGTTGCAATGATCTCTTTGAGATCTTTTTTTCATTTTCTCTAGATATATACTTAAAAGTGGGATTGCTGGATCATATGGTAGTGCTATTTTTAACTTTCTGAAGAACTTCCATATTGTTTTCCACATAGGCTGTACCAATTTACATTCCCACCAACAGTGCACAAGGTTTCCCTTTTCTCTGCATCCTCATCATCATTTGTTACCTCTTGTTTTTTGTTTTTTGGGTTTTTTTGATGACAGCCATTCTAACACGTGAATATCCCACTATTATGTTAATTTGCATTTTCCTGATGATTACTGATGTTGAGCACCTTTTCTTTACAAAATTTTTTTAATGTTTATTTATTTTTGAGAGAGAGAGAGACAGAGTGCAAGTGGGAAAGGGGCAGAGAGAGAAGGAGACACAGCAGCCGAAGCAGGTTCCAGACTCTGAGCTGTCAGCACAGAACCCGATACAGGGCTTGAACCCACAAACTGTATGACCTGAGCCAAAGTTATATGTTTATCTGACTATACCACCCAGGTGCCCCAACCACCTTTTCATATATCTGTTGGCTATTTGTATGTCTCCTTTGGAAGAATACCTATTTAGTTCTGCCCATTTTAAAATCAGATTGTTTTCTTGCTATTGAGTTGTAGGAGTTTTTTACACATTTTGAATAATATCTCATCAGATATGGTTTGCAAATATGTTCTCCAATTCTGTAGGTGCCGTTTCATTTTGTTGATCATTTCTTTTGCTGTGAAAAGATTTTTAGTTTGTTTGTTTTTGCTTTTGTTGCCAATACTGTATGGTTCTTACCATATGTGAGGTGATGTTACATTATTTGAAGTTGACTGAATTTAGCTAAAGATGTGTAAGTCCTAAAGCAACCCATGAAATATAAAAATAATGAGTTCTATATAATCAATCAACAAAGGACATAAAATGGGGTCATAAAAAATACTCAATCCAGAAGAAGGCAGAAAAAAGGAAAAAGGGAACAGATGAGATAAATAGAAAAAGAAGTACCATCATGGCAGATTTACTCAAAACATATCAATAATCTCACTAAGCATAAATGGAATAAACCCCAATTAAAAATAATATATTCTCTGTATACAAAAAGCAAGACCCAAATATATACTGTCTACAAGAAATCCACTTTAAAGACACAAATAAGCTAAAAGCATAAGAATGGTAAAAGCTATACCACGTTAACATGTCAAAAGAAAGCTGGAGGGGTGCCTGGGTGGCTCGGTCAGTCGAGCTTCCAACTCTTGATTTCAGCTCAGATCATCCTAGAGTCATGGGATCGAACCTTGTGCTAGGCTCAGCACTGAGCATGAAACCTGCTTGAGATTCCCTCTCTCCCTCTGCCCCTCTCCCCTGCATGGTCTCTCTCTAAAAATAAAATAAAATTAAGTTAAATTAAAATTAAAATTAAATTAAAAGCTGGAGTGGATATATTAATATTAAACACAGTAGGTTTCAGAGCAAAAACATATTATGAAGGAAAAAGAGGGTTATTTTATAATGATAAAGCAGTCAACTCATCAAGAAGACATAGCAAGAGAAGGGAGGATGAACTAAGCTGGCATCATAGCAGGAGGACCCTAGGCTTGCTTTGTCCCTCAAACACAGCTACTTAACTATCAAATCATTCTGAATCCTCAAGAAATTGATCTGAGGTATGATAGAACATACTGCACAACTAGAGGGAGAGAAGAGGCCACACTGAGGAAGGTAGGAAGTGTGGAGCCCTAGTTTGGGGGAAAAATGGACCACAGGGGGCTGCGGAGGGGAGGGAGCCCCTGTCACAGAAAAAGGTGAGAGACAGTGGAATGCACAGGGATAAACACAAGAACATTTCCCCAAAACCACTGGCTGGGAAAACAAGAGGGGCTAAATTTTATGAGTTTTTACAACCAGTGGGGCTCAAAGACTGGAGTTTTAGAGGTCCCCAGGCTTGCCTGGGACAGAGACCTGAGGAAGCTGCTCTACTCCTGGAGAAGAGGCAGGCAAACAACCCTGGGGCAGACTGCATGATCCGAGGAATGCCTAAGGGGCATCGGGAGAGACTGTTTCTCCTTTTTAGCGACCATCTATGAGAGGTAGCATTGCTTCTCTAGGGACAAAAGAACCAGCAGGTGTCATTTCCCTCCTCCAACCTTCAGCATAGGTGCAGAGGAACCAGCTGAGGGTGAGTATCCTGGATACCAGTTTTTCACTGAACTTTACTCCAAAATCCATGCTCCTGTGCTCTGGTGCAACTGCCATTCTGAGTCAAACCTGCATCAGTCCCAACAGGGGAAGACCCTTTCCCAGAGAATAAGTGCAGATCCCTGCCACACCAGGTCCCTGAAGTTTGGAATTTTAAAAGTCAGCAGGCCTGGCTAGGGTAGAGGCCAAAGTATTCTATGCTGCTACAGGCAGGTAAGCAACCCAGACAGAGTGCGAAATTAGTGATCTGAAAAATGTCTGTGATGCACCATGGGAAATTATTCACTCCTCTGAAAGTGCTTCCATGAGAGCAGCAAGCACAGACTCTCCTCTCCAGGGACAAAGAACCTGGTTGATGCCATTTCCCTCCTCTACCCCTCAGCATAAACCAACTTCAATAAATAGCAAAGGACCAACACTGCCTGCCTAACCTGCTAACGCTAAGTCCTACCCCTCTGCACTCTGCTGGGACTGTTTTTCTTCAGCAAGAGTGACTACCAACCAGTACAGCAGGCCTCTCCCCCATAAGACCAGCACAAACGCCCCCCATACACCATGTCTACCGACATAAGAGTCCTGCAAAGCTTCAGTTCTAGTGAAAAGAGCATTAGGTCTCTTTTAGCAAGTA